GCAAAATTAAGGATTTAGAAGCAAAGTTTTCCTCTGACCTCCTGATCTTGTTTCCCTCATTCTCCCTTAAAGTGAATCATAGAAACCAGAATTCCTCTTCCCCAAGGTGGGTCATAGAAACACGTACCCCTTTCCCTCAAATCCAGCCATAAAAACTAGAACGATTACTCCAAACTTCCCTTGCCTTTCTGTGTTAAATGTAGTCATAAAGAAATTAGGACCCTCATTCCACAGCGGCCCTGCCCATACCCAGGAGGAAGAAGTACCACAACTAAGGGGCCAATAGGATTCTGAATAGACTGGCCTTGCTGGGTTTCCCATTCGCTCAGACCCTTTTGTCCAATCATATTCCTACACAGCTGTCCCTGCTTCACAGAACCTAAGCATAAAAACAGACTGTTCACCCTAGGTCTTTGGCGTCTTCAACCTGAGGACCTCTATGTTGTGTAACATTATGATAAAATAAATTTGTCTTGGTTTTCTTATTGACCTATTGTTTTAGGGAATGTTGGTAATGACCCTTTTGTTTTTTTTTTTTAATTTTTTTTATTGGTTGTTCAAAACATTATAAAGCTCTTGACATATCATGTTTCATACATTAGATTCAAGTTGGTTATGAACTCCCAATTTTACCCCAAATACAGATTGCAGAATCACATCGGTTACACATCCACATTTTTACATAATGCCCTATTAGTAACTGTTGTATTCTGCTACCTTTCCTATCCTCTACCATCCCCCCTCCCTCCCATCCCATCTTCTCTCTCTACCCCATCCACTGTAATTCATATCTCTCCTTGTTTATTTTCCCATTCCCCTCACAACCTCTTATATGTAATTTTGTATAACAATGAGGGTCTCCCTCCATTACCATGCAATTTCCCTTTTCTCTCCCTTTCCATCCCACCTCATGTATCTGTTTAATGTTAATCTTTTCTTCCTGCTCTTCCTCCCTGCTCTGTTCTTAGTTGCTCTCATTATATCAAAGAAGACATTTGGTATTTGTTTTTTAGGGATTGGCTAGCTTCACTAAGCATAATCTGCTCTAGTGCCATCCATTTCCCTGCAAATTCTATGATTTTGTCATTTTTTAGTGCTGCGTAATACTCCATGGTGTATAAATGCCACATTTTTTTTTATCCATTCATCTATTGAAGGGCATCTGGGTTGGTTCCACAGTCTAGCAATTGTGAATTGTGCTGCTATGAACATCGTTGTAGCAGTATCCCTGTAGTACGCTCTTTTAAGGTCTTCAGGGAAAAGTCCAAGAAGGGCAATAGCTGGGTCAAATGGTGGTTCCATTCCCAGCTTTCCCAGGAATCTCCATACTGCTTTCCAGATTGGCCACACCAGTTTGCAGTCCCACCAGCAATGTACAAGAGTACCCTTTTCCCCACATCCTCTCCAGCACTTGTTGTTGTTTGACTTCACAATGGCTGGCAATCTTACTGGAGTGAGATGGTATCTTAGGGTGGTTTTGATTTGCATTTCTCTGACTGCTAGAGATGGTGAGCATTTTTTCATGTACTTGTTGATTGATTGTATGTCCTCCTCTGAGAAGTGTCTGTTCAGGTCTTTGGCCCATTTGTTGATTGGGTTATTTGTTTTCTTATTGTTTAATTTTTTGAGTTCTTTGTATACTCTGGATATTAGGGCTCTATCTGAAGTGTGAGGAGTAAAAATTTGTTCCCAAGATGTAGGCTCCCTATTTACCTCTTTTATTGTTTCTCTTGCTGAGAGAAAACTTTTCAGTTTAAGTAAGTCCCATTTGTTGATTTTTGTTATCAACTTTTGTGCTATGGGTGTCCTATTAAGGAATTTGGAGCCCGACCCTACAATATGTAGATCGGAGCCAACTTTTTCTTCTATCAGACGCAGAGTCTCTGATTTGATATCTAGCTCCTTGATCCACTTTGAGTTAACTTTTGTGCATGGCGAGAGGAGGGGATTCAGTTTCATTTTGTTGCATATGGATTTCCAGTTTTCCCAGCACCATTTGTTGAAGATGCTATCCTCCCTCCATTGCATGCTTTTAGCTCCTTTATCAAATATAAGATAGTTGTAGCTTTGTGGATTAGTCTCTGTGTCCTCTATTCTGTACCATTGGTCCACCCTCCTGTTTTGGTACCAGTACCATGCTGTTTTTGTTACTATTGCTCTGTAATATAGTTTTAAGTCTGGTATCGCTATACCGCCTGATTCGCACTTCCTGCTTAGAATTGCTTTTGCTATTCTGGGTCTTTTATTTTTCCATATGAATTTCATGATTGCTTTATCCATTTCTACAAGAAATGCCACTGGGATTTTGATTGGCATTGCATTAAACCTATAGAGAACTTTTGGTAATATCGCCATTTTGATGATGTTAGTTCTGCCTATCCATGAACAGGGTATATTTTTCCATCTTCTAAGATCTTCTACTTCTCTTTTTAGGGTTTTGTAGTTTTCATTATATAAATCTTTCACCTCTTTTGTTAGGTTGATTCCCAAGTATTTTATTTTTTTTGAGGATATTGTGAATGGAGTGTTTTTCCTCATTTCCATTTCAGAAGTTTTGTCGCTGATATACAGAAATGCCTTTGATTTATGCGTGTTGATTTTATATCCTGCCACTTTGCTGAATTCATTTATTAGTTCTAGTAGTTTTTTTGTAGACCCTTTTGGGTCTTCTAGGTATAGAATCATGTCATCTGCAAATAGTGATAATTTAAGTTCTTCCTTTCCTATTTTTATGCCTTTAATTTCTTTCGTCTGTCTAATTGCTCTGGCCAGTGTTTTGAGAACTATATTGAATAGAAGTGGTGATAGAGGGCATCCCTGTCTTGTTCCAGATTTTAGGGGGAATGTCTTCAATTTTTCTCCATTGAGAATGATGCTAGCCTGGGGCTTAGCATAGATAGCTTTTACAATGTCGAGGTAAGTTCCTGTTATCCCTAGTTTTTCTAATATTTTGAACATAAAGGGATGCTGTACTTTGGGTAATGACCCTTTTGGATGAGCAGGAAAATGATGACTCCCTTTTCCATCCCTAAACAAAGACCCTGAAACAAAAAGCACTTTGCCATGTTGAAGAAAGGTGACTGGAAAATAGTAAGCAGTGGGGAACGTGGAGGAAATGAGGCTGAAGATTCTGCAGGGTCATGATAATTTGGTGGGGAGCAGTTTTGTTGAAAAAAATACCAATTATTTGTATGGTATAAACTCTGGAAATTAGACTTCACCAAAATCTCCTTGATTAGAGGTGTAGGGGGTAGAAAGAAATGCAAATCCACTGATATTCTGTTTCAAGAGTATTAGTGTTGCTGCTGAAATAATAAATTTCTTAAACATCACACCTGTCTGCTTTGCCTGCAATGTACTTAGTACATATTTACACTGTCCACTCTGATGTGCATAAAACCAAAGGATACCACCTTCATGGAAAGGAGATGGTTACATGGCCTGTAACCACAAAAGATCTTAATAGGCAATTGCATCAAGCAATATAAGGGAATTAATAAAAAGGGTAAATAGAAGCTACCTGATATTTCCTAATTATGAAACTAAACCCACTGCAAAGTTCTGAATTATAATACTTATTATACAGTTATATAATACTTATTATAATACTTATTATACAGTGTATGTTGTTTAAGTAATCCACCCAATTATGGCCACTGAAGACTGGTTGAGTGGGGAGTGGAGCTGGAAGCAGTCAAAGGGATTAACACTTAAGCACCCCAAAATATGGCCTGACATATGGTCAGCAAATGGAGTTACCATTTTTATTATCTAAAATAATTTTTTTCAGAACATATTTTTAACTAATAGAGAAATAACATTTGAATAAATAAGTTAGTTATTTCTGCTATTTATTATAAAAAATGAGAAATGAACAAAAGTTTTACATGGATGTAGCAAGATAAGTTCAAATATTAACTGTAGTATGCAAAATAAAAACCATACCAAAATAGAGGTTACCAAAAAAAAAGGTCTAGTGTCTAAATATTTATCCTATAGCTAAGTAACAACTCATCCAAGCAATATTACAATTAATGAATCCTAGTACACCAGGAGGTCACTGATTTTAAAGTAGTTAGCCAGCTGAGCCTGGGTTAGGGTTAGGATTAGGGTTAGGTTTAGGGTTAGGTTTTTCTCAAGGAAATGGTCATCCAGCATCAGAATGAAGAGATGGATTCTTCCCTCCTTCCCCTTGCATAGTTCTTAATCTTTCTAACAGATCTCTATAACTAGTTTAAATGACTGGCCTTTGCCTGGCTTTTATTCCCTATTACAGTTTTATTTCTGGCTTTAAATCCCTGTAGGAAACAAAGGATAGAGAATTATGAGTTGAACATGTTGAGTACCAAAAAAAGTAAGACAGAGAAGGAAATTTTGCTGCACTGACAATACAGAACAGTTTACTTCCAGGAACAAGCTGTTGGTCATAAGGGTTGCTAGTCAGTCCACTTTCTAAGTCCTGGAATTCATACTTGAGTGGTATGAATAAAAACATAGGGCCAGGTGCGGTGGTGCATGCCTGTAATCCCAGCAGCTTGGGAGGCTGAAGCAGGAGGATCATGAGTTTAAAGCCAGCCTCAGCAACTTATCGAGGAACTTCGTAACTCAGTGAGATCCTGTCTCTAAATAAAATATATAAAAAGGGCTGTGGATATGGCTCAGTGGTTAAGCAGCCCTGGGTTCGATCCTCAGTGCCAAAAAAAAAAAAAGGTTTCCCCCAGTGGGTAGGACTGGCACACATGACTTCCTAGGTGAATCAATAAGCAAGTGAAAAAACAAACTTACTGAGGGGACTGCTTGACTTTTGTCTAAAGCATCCCATAATATCCTACAGAAAAAAAAAAGGCACATTTATACTGTGCTCTACAAGTATAAATGAAGAAGCATCTTTCCAGAAGGGATCTAGACCTCAGTCCAACATTCAAAAGGCCTTAAAGAGGTACAGAAAGAATCTGGAGTGACTGAACTATCTAATATCATAGAAATCAAGATACCAAGAATAAGAGTAATTTTCATTGCTTTATTAAATTGTTCCTCACAAAATTCTTTGCAAAAATGCCATGTCCCTAAAAAAAGTCATTTGACAAATATATATCTTAAATCTTACTTCATTTATAATTTCAATAATGCTGAAACTTTATTATTATGTTTGTAGTGCTATTCCTATTTTTTGTTTCCATGAACAAAAGCCCATCATTCTCTTATTATTGTTTGTGTATTTTAGATATATATTTACATAAACATACTTATATAAAACAAAATTTTCCAAGTTGCAAATAAATAAATAAATTTAAGGAAAGCAAATGAATGTAAAAGTTAAAATCATAATATACTTAATCCCTTAATTCCAGAGTTTAGACAAAAGTTTTGGACCTTCTTCATGAAAGAAATGTACGAACTGTACCCTTGATGGTACCCCTACAAATCGGACATTTTCTTAGAGAAGGGGCACAATCTTTGCATACTACTAGATGACCACAAGGAATGAACACTATGGACACTTCTTTGTCCATGCACACTTTACATGTTCTTTCTTCTTGTAGTCTCCGCAATTGTTCTTCCATTGGTAGATCTGAGAAAAAGGGGAAAAAAATAATAATAAAAGGCAATTTGCTTCTCCTCCTTTTAAAAAAACCAAGAAAATAAAGACAATGTTTTCTAGCAGCTTAAAGTGTTAATATTATTACCTGAAGTATCTTCTGTGCGAATACACCTTATGTCCTGTTGCACTAAAGGAATAAAAGAAAGAAAAAATATTATTATGACAAATAAGAATATATTTTTCAAACTAGTAGTTTACACTTTGGCCAAACACTCATAATGTCAAGGCAACAAAAGTCTTTAATCTTTTTGTACAGTTTAATAAATTAGGTTGAATTCTTTTCAATAATCACCAATTGTTTGAGTATATTTTGGAACTGACCTAGGAACTTCCCAAAAATAATTTTCTTGCACTCACCAAATAAATGCTTGTATAACATAGGGTCAGTTTCTTGTAGAGAGTTTTTGAATACAGTGGCTGCGGTATTTCCTTTTACTAAAATGGTGTCAATCAGTTCTCTTGCTTGTAAAGAAGTCTGTGTTTTCTGCTTAATTACATCATGCTCTTGTTCATTAATCACTCTGGCAATTAGTAGACTATCCAGAATTGGAATTACACAAGTCAGATGTTGGAAAAGTGCCATTCTATTCTTCCGAATTAATAATAGGTCTTCTTTATAAAAAAGAAAACAAACACAAAGATGTTCAAACTCTGCTCACAAACTTTCTTCCACACTTACATATATAAGTCAATGAAAACCATCTTCAATTTACCATTAGTAAGGCTCTGATATTGATTGCTAGGGTTGGGGTATCTGCTGCTTGTGCCTCATGATAACGCTGATTATGAGAAATGACACTGAGCACTGCATTAGGTACCCCACATGTTACCCCATTTCATCCTCATAATAGCCTGTGGAGAACAGTTATATGAATCATGCTCCAACTTTCTTGTGGCTGTGTTGCACTGGGAACTGCCTGTGCAAAAGTGCAAGTCAAGATGGCTCTGTTGCTATGGTGATACCAGCCTGAAGAAACTCTGTAAAGGCTCAGAGTTATCAGCAGAGGCCTAGAATTCAGACACCAACTCCCAGGAATAGAGAATTCTGAGCAAAACAAGATGACCCTAATGCCTCCCCAGTCCTGCATCCTTCAGATTGCATGTTTTGCTAAAACTTTCCCACAAATAACCTTTTGATGAAACCTATACAATAAACATGCTGAGTTAGCTCAGGGTTAGTCAAACTCTGCATCAGAGTTTGGCTGTCCACCTAGCCCCGCTGTTTTCTCTCTATGTGTGTCTATTTGTCTATTCCTCATTCTCCATCACTCTTGTCCCATATTTCCTTAATTAACAGCTGCAGCTGGGAGCAGATATGAGAGGGCAAAAGCAATAGCCATTTGAAGTAAGTACTAATTCCTTCATTTAACAGATGAGAAAACAAAGCCACGAAGAGGCAAATAAATTGCCAAAGGACACATAACTAGCAAAGTCAAACTGAGACAGGGTGGCATCATGATTTGTGCTTTCAGTCATTCTGTGATCCAGCTAAGCTGTTAACTCAATAAGATTAAAATCTTAATTCAATTTAGCCAAATTGGGGAAACATAAAATCAAATGAATTAAAGCAATTTTTAAAAATGTTTACTATTTCATAAAATTTCTTTAAATTTTCATTTTTAAGTGGAAATTTTAATTATTTTCTCAAATCAGACATATGGCCATTACCTAAATATTGTATAATGAGGAAAAAACTCACAGCATTTTGAAGAGTAAATCCTCTTTGTCAATGACTACCTTCTATTGACCTTATATAATCATCTTATTTTCCTTCAAGATCTAAATTTGAATTTATTGGTTAAAAAAAAAAACAAAACTATGTAGATTGAAACTGCAATTTGCCAGGTACCGTGAGGCACACCTGTAATCCCAGCTACCCTGGAGGCTAAGGCAGGAGGATCAAAAGTTCGAGGTTAGCCTGGGCAACTACTTGTAAGACTTTGTATCAAAATAAGAAAAATAAAGAGGGCTGGGGATGTAGTTCAGTGGTAGAGCACCCCTAGATCAATCCCCAGTACTGAAAAAAAAAAAACTGTGATTTTATCATCTCTTTGAACTAAGAACCTAAGCTTATCATATACTTTACCATAATCAATAAAGCTATTTCTTTTTAAAATTTATTTATTTTTCTACTATAAAGCTGTTTATAAAATAACTAATGGTAGAAGCTGGGTGTCTGAAGAATAATTATTTTAGGACAGATGATTGTGAGGTTTAAGACATATTGACTTTGTCCTATTATGATAGGACACATAAATACAACCATCTCAAAAAGAATAAAAAGTGATACTTAGTAAAAAAGTCAAGGCTGAAGATATACATTCTGAATATAACTGAAGCTTTGAGAATAAATGAGAAAAGGACGAGAACCTAGAATAGTATATTTACAAAGATACTTTATAAATAACTATTGAAGAAATTTTAAAAATAGCCTTAGTAATTTAAAGAGTAGGAATTAAAAAAAGTAATAGAGGTATAGAAGATTCAGAACAAAATATACCATTAAGTTATCTATATTAGACAAGTAGTAATATATTAGAAAATAAAATATAATTTATACTTGGTGTTGAAGTACATTAACTTTTCAAAATAACATTTATTTTTCTAATAACATTTTGCTTAGCCCTAATAAACTCTCTGAACTACTTTTTTTCTTTCTTGGTGCTGATAATTGAATCCATGGCCTTGTGTATGCTAGGCAAGCAGTCTACCTGAACATTCTACCATTGAGAAATACCCCAAGCCTCTTTGAAATTCCTAAGATTTCTAAAATTTTATTGCTAGTATTTGGGAAAAGTTCTTATTTCAAAGTCATATACATTTGGAACAAGTGAAGACTTGAATATATCTTTGAAACATATTATTTTTTCTGAGAAAAAATTTCCTAAATTGCCTCTTTATTTATGTATCTGTTAAGAAATTAATTGCCACTGTTCTTGGAATACTATAATATAATCAATAACCTAAATGCAAGTATTTTCCTTAACTCATTCAAAAAAATTTTTTCTTGAGCACAGGCTATGTGCAGACAGCCTGCTAAGTAGTAGACATAGAAGGGTGACATTAAGAGCTCCTTTTGACAGTGTAAATCATGGTACATTGTCAATCTGGAGTCATCTCTGGAGACCTTGTTAATTTTATTTGGAAGAAATATAAGCATTTCTACAGGTGGATGAATTTAGACATCATTGGGTTTCTCAACAAATGTGAAGATTTTGGGGCAATTGTTGAGTGATGACCAGTGATTAAGACTCAGATGACAGCTGGACATGGTGATACTAGCCCATAATCCTAGTGATTTAGAAGTCTGAACCCCAGGGGTTCAATCCCCAGTATCAAAAACAAACAAAAAAACTGAGATGACTACAGAAAGGACACACTTGCCTAATGTCCACTTCACAATGAAAAGCGAAGAACTTGACTAGGCAGGACAGATACTGACTTGGATTGTGTTCCTGCTGTACTGGTGGTGTGTAGACTAAGTAATTCACACCTTGGTAAATGTGTGATGCTGTATTACTATGTTCAGATACATTTGTCTGAATTGGGCAAAAGACATATTTATCTTCATAGGTGGAATAGGTTCATCCTTAAATGGGGTGGACACTCTGTCAATCACCCTGGAAAGAAATAGATCTCAAATGGCTGTGAACAAAGACAAGTGCAAGCTTTCTGCTCTCTCTGAGTATTGAATATTTGGAGCCCTTATCTTTGATAAAGGAAACCATGTTCGCAACTTTCCTAGTTTTTTGTGTAAACTGGCTAGAGCTACACATTGATGGACCAGACACTAGGTAGAGAGATTTATGAGAATGAGGCCACATCTATTTCCAGTTATAAATTGCCATCTGAGATATAATTTCTTCCTCTTGTTCCTAAATCTCCAGTAAGAGATTGTTAAGAGTGGCAGTCTATTATCTTCAACTGTGTTGAAGAGGCAGGGTGGGGTCCAAGCTTGGGAAAGAGCAGCAAGAGAGATCAGAATTTCTCTTTGTTTATGTCAGAATGATAACAGAAGTTGCAACCAGATGGAGTGTGTCCTCCAGAGGGAGACAGCTTCTGGGCAGAGCAATAGAGAACAGAGTAGCTAACAGGCTAGCTAGCATGGGAGGACATGGTAGCTTGCCTGAATGAATGTGAAACAGTACCCTAGGACTTGCCTAAATAACAGTCATTGGAAGGGAACTCAGTTCTTGTATGGGCATGTAGGACACTTAATCACAATTTGTGTATTCATTTTTAGTCACAGGATGAGACATACTGTTATGCTAATATTAAAATTAATAATTGCCCCTTATCCCACCCTGATTTACAGAAAAGGGGAGTGAGCAACTAGCCAGTGATTAAAAATGTGCCATGAATAATTGCATTCAAAGTTAACTATTCAGAGTAAAATATGAAATAAGGGAAAGAAGGAAAAAAATATTTCCTCTTAACGTACACATTTTCAAGTTAAGCAGCAATTCCTATATATGTTAGTGTGAAAAAATTTTTTTCAGAATTTGAATTCAGAATACTAAACATACAAAAAATATGACTGGGTTGACTGATCAATTAGTATATTTTCAGTAAGATACATAGAGTGATATCACATTCTTATGGAAAGAGAGACTATACTAAAAAAATACATACCTGATTCTTTTTCCTCAGTTGCTCTTTCTTTTGCCTCTTCCCTTATTTCATCTTCTGCATTAAGCAAATCTAATACAAGATCACTGATGGTTTTATAATTCTCTCCAGCGGTTAGGATTTTACTCTGAACTGTCTGTTTTACCAGGTTTCTACTGAAGCCCATTTCCAAAGCAGCTTTAACCACAGGTGTATTCATCATGACAGCATCTTCTGAATGGTTTTCTCCAGGTCCAAAATGAACAACTATGTGGAACAAAGAATTTAACACACATTAGGATAGTCTGTATGCTTTAAAATTGAAAGTTATTAAAATATCACAAACTTAAAACACTAGAAAATGTAGAGGCACTATTTTATACAAACTTCGTTAAATTTAAAATGATATATATGTTCAGTTACCAAAATAAGAATATAGAAGATTGTATTTAGATACAAAACATTTGCTATCTGTCATACCATATACATATAAAAGAAGGAGAAGGAAACAGAATGTCAGAGATCAAAGAATTGAGATTCCCTTTTCCCTGTGTTGGATTAACAAATGAGCTTTCTAAATCAAATACATATTTTCACAAGGGGTCTTTGTCATCACTCACTTTTGTTACTGCAATGGCTTCCTACAATATTGTTCCCTTCCAGCCCATTCTCAATGCCACAACCAAAGTGATTTAAAACAAACAAAAAAACCACAAATCTGATTGTGTTATACGCCTTAAATTCCATCAACAATTCCATTGTAGCTTATAAGCCCACATACAATCTGTATCCTGTTTACCTCTTCAGCTTCATCCCTTGTCAATTATTTGCATTCTGCTCTCTAGGATAGAAGTCACAAACTGATAGGTCTTGGGTCAAATTCTGTCTGCAGTGCTGACCCCTTACGCCAGCCTGCTTCATGCATTCATCTGTTTGCAACTCCTACTTCTGACCATACAGAATTTTGTTCAGTTCTTCAAATGAGCTTGTTCTATCTCACACAGGCCTTTTATATGCTGTTCCCTATGTCTAGAATGTCCTTTTCTTCCCTTTGTCACCTGGTTGACTCCTTTTTCCTTGAGTTCTCTGACAAGATGAGTATTTCTTCCAGAAAGCCTTTTCTGATCCTCTAGTTCTCTCAGGCACTCTCATATCACACTTTATTTTCCCCACCAAATCCCTTTCTCCTATCTGTGTATTGTTTTTATCCATAAGATCATTAGCTCATGAGAGCAGGAGTCATGCTTATCCTGCTTCCTATGCTTCCCTAAGAATAGTAAATACATGTATATTTATTTTATTTTATTTAATGCTAGAAAATGAAATAGAAGCACTTGTTCAAACATTTGCTCTACCCCCCTTTTAGTTCTAAGGTAAGGGTCAAGTCATTCAACTTCTCTGAGCTTTGGGATCTTTACTAAAGGATGGGAATACTGTTTTTCTACTCTCCTTTATTTCACAGAAAGCATATGTGAACAATCTAATATCACAGTACACCTCTTCCCATACTGGTCCAAGAATAAGGGTTAGACTAGAAGTATGTATTTTGCTAAAATTAGATGCCCAGGGCTGTGGATATTGCTCAGTGGAAGAGCATATGCTTAGCATCCTCAAGGCCCTGGATTCAAACCTCAGTACCAACAAAACAAATCCACTAACTACTGATACCCAAGTCCTACCCTTAGATACTCTGATTCAATTCAGTAGGTTTGAAGCATAAACTAGAAATCTGCACTAGTTTTTAAAGTTCTCCAGGTAATTCCGATATGCACTGAAGTTTGAGAAATACCAACATGATATATTTGAAAATGCATTGTAAATGATAAATCAATACAAACGTATATTATTATTATCACCTTTTAATCTTAATAATGCTAAATGTGTCTATCTCAATGAAGTAATTATGTTTATACATACTTGGTGACTCTGCATTTTCATCTTCTGGGGTATCTGATGTGGATAACAGCTATAGAAAAAAATGTATATCAATTAAATATAAACTTCATACTGCCCATCACAATAAAAACGAGCCAATAGACCTACTTTTTAAAATTTATTACAAGCTGACTGGTTTACTGACAAAATAAATTGTTTAATCAAAAGATGTATTTTATTTACATCCACCAGCTATTCTCTCAGCCATAAACCAACAGAATTTCTCTGTGTTTGTACTACCATATAAAATCTATTTTCCTGAAGGCAGGAAAAGGGCTAAAGCTCTTCAGTGATCTATGAGATAATCAGTTTGCCTCTCATTAACAGATCTTATGCTCCTGGGTTATCTTTTGGGATAGAGTAAACCCTATATCAGTCTGTTGACCACAGCTAGGCAGTTTTTGACCCCCAAACTATTATATAAGTTGTCATTTGCTCTCCCAGAAAGATTAGAAAGAACAATAACATTCTTTCTCAAATTTTCTAAAGAAAAAGTTTTATAGCAAACCTATTAAATGCTACAATTCCAGCCAATTTTTTCCCCTCAACTTGATTGGAGGAATGCTTGAAAACAAAGATAACAAATCTTATTTTTCAGGGGGTTATGAATTATGGATCTACTTTTCTCCAAAAAATAGTACTTTCTAGGACCATATCAAGTTTATGAAAAAGAAAAGTGTGTTTTAAAAACTTTTGTCTTTTGACTAAAATATACTTTATAATTATTAAAAACAAACTGTCTGTTGGTAACCAGTGATTTAAAAGGAAAAAAGAAACTTCCCTACCTACCTGTTCAAGCAGATGGGGATAACTGGCTTGAACTTGACTGATGAATTCTTGTCCTTTAATTCTTATCAAGTACTCACACCTCAAATATAAACAAAGTTTGAAGGATAATTTTATAAAAGTGAAAGGAAATTTAATAACATAAATTTATCATCCCTATGTGTTTATTCTATTAAAAAGCTGTCTAAGCATCCCAAATCCAGAGTCATTTTAGATCACTGATTATAAGCTTAGAAGAATAAATAAATCTTAGCCCAGTGAGAACTAATTCTACTGTATTTCTTTGTCTTGAATTTTTTTTTTTTTTGGTAAAACTAACCTATAAATATTCTGTAATAGGATTCATATTTTTTGCATGTGAATCTTTTATTTATTATTTGTTTATTAAGGTGCTACCATAATTAACACAAATTTGATTTACTCCTAGTACTTTTTCATATGATTTAAATGCTTTATGATTTTTTTGTGTTAATAGAATATATAAATTTTTACATAAAAAACATCCTAAACCTACTTTTCCTTTGTCTTAAACCCATTAAAGCATTTTAAGTAATTATTTTTCTAAATAACCCATTCTAAACTTAGTCACAAATATATTTTTTGAACAAAGAATAATATGACAGCTGACTGGAGGGCAAACACATCAAACCCACTTCATGATAATCACAAGCATTTGCAAAGAGAATTTCAAAACAATTACCTTGGAAACCACTTGGCATGTTCCACCCATGGATCATCTCCCAACTCCCAACACCTCAGTCCACCATCACAGCAAAAGCATTTGACATCATCACTGTGACCTAAAATTATTTTAGACCAAAACTTATGAATACATATAATTTCCCACTAAAATGTATAAAATAAAACATGCTGAACTTTTTAAATTATCAGATTAAGTTCCTTACCCACATAATAAAAACCTGCACTTGCAAGTTGCTCAGGATGAACCAGAACACTGGAAGGCCAGTTAAAGAACGTTTTAAAGCGGGCTGCATGTGTCTGCATGCTCAGATTAGAAACGGTGTATCTTGAAGTATCTTGAAACTGATTTTCTACAAACGGGCAGTTGGGAAAATGTCTTAGGTGTTCTGACATAGCATCGTCCTTTGGTTCCCAATTGCTCAATTTTCCACCGCAGGCAAAGCAAGCCACTCTGTCTCCAGGCCCTATGTAGTAAAAGCCTGCTTTGGCTAGTTCTGTAGGTGACAGAAAGGTCAATGGCCACATTTGATAAGTGAGTAATCTGGCCTTTTCAGTATTCATTGAACAATGATAGGGATTTATCCTCAAGGCAGAAAAATCTTGATTTGCTCTGGAGTTGACAGGATTTGATGGAAAGCTTGAATAAGAGCCACTAAAATATCCACTGTTTTCCAAACTTGGAAGTAATGAATGTGTGGAATTTGTTACTGAAGAAGAAAAAGAAGGCTGAGAAGTGGCTTTCGAATTGTTAACTGAATTTAGATTCTGAACAAAGCTGCAACTAGGATACAATTTTTTATGCTTTTCGATAGGATTGTCTCCGTGTTTCCAGTTATCCAGCATGAGGCCACAACAGAAGCATTTGACCTTGTCTTTCACACCAGTGTAATAGAAACCAGCACGAGCAAGACTCCTTTCCGAGACGGGAACTCCTGAGGGGAAAGTGGAATATGTGGACATCCGGTACAGTTCACATGAAAAGTCGTACTTCATTTTAAATGAGTTGGCATTCTTCATCAAATTTGATAAGAAGATGCTATTTTCTACTATATTCATAACGAAATGAATGAGGAGTAAAAGGGACCAGCCTTTCTCTGGGGAGGTAGTTTTGTGCATGTTTTTTTGTTTTGTTTTGTTTTGTTTTTTTTTATCAGTTTTACTTCTAGGTGGAACATCTAAAATGAGAATTCTTTCATTCTTTCTTCTATGCATTTAGGGTTTCAGCATGGAGAGAGTCTAAATTCTACACTGATGCATGTTAAGGGACAGTTACAACAACATCTTTGTATAACCTTTATACATACAATGTAAATAAGATGTTACATAGTAACCTGTGACAAAATTAAAATCCTTCCTAGAGGCATAAAGTGTTTTAGATTATCAGGAAGCACCTCTACACCTAGATCACCTTTTTGCAGACCACCAGGGTACAGCAGTGGCCTTCACCAACCTGCAGAGTGTTTGCCTCATAATGCTAGCTTCTTTTCATGGTAGAAAGCTATGCTCCATAAGCATCACACACAAAAATATTCAGTGTATGTTTGTTTTGTTTTGTTTGGAAATTGTAAAATTTGGTAGCAAAAAAAAAATAGCACAAGATCGATCTCATATCTCACAGGAAGATTACATTACCATAGGTCATTGATTTAATTAAAGATACTTGCTTTGATATCTGTTATCAAGAGGTAGCTTACAATCAATAGCATATTTTAGTTAGCAACATTTTTATTTCTTAGAGATACATAAAATAATAGTATGACTCATACGTGAGGGCATCTTAGACTCAGTGAAATATGGTTTATCCCAAATCTTTCTCAAATTAAGTAATTCTTCCGTTTATGATCATTTTTAATAAGGAGAACAAAAATCTGAAGTTTCCCTCTGAAGATTAAGTAGTAACAGAATTGACTGCCATCTAAAACTTGTTTTCAATATTTATTATATAATAATTACTTCCTCATTGATCATCAGGAACATTTTTGCTTAGTGATGTTATGAAATTTAAAAAAAAATCAAACATTCTATTTTAAATAAATCATTAGAGACTAATGTATCTGCTTATTTGGTCTTTTGGACCCAGTTTCATGCCATTGAGATAACTCAATGTTACCATTTCTTTGTTCTAATGATGTAATTGGCTAGAACCAATTACCCTTGGTAATTATGGTAGATAGAAGGTGCTGAAAATGGAGACTGCCACAAATCACCAATAATGATATTGAAGTTCATTGCTATATTCAGGTTACATCAAATTTTCTCGGATAGTGGATTTAATTTTGAAAACAATCAAAAGTTACAAAATGCCAAATCTATATGCTAAGATGAATCATCAAATCATATAAATTTGTCTTGGGTCAGAAATTATTTCACAGTGTACCTTGAACCAGAATTTATCATGACAAAAACCAAACTAAAAATTATCACAGAAACCTCAAAAATTAGAAGTTTTCAATTATGACTTACAAGCTGTTAATAAATAGGTTCTCTGTCAATAATACTAGCAATCTCTATGATTGTTTTTTTTACCAGTGGTTGGCAGGTATGGTTTCTTTGAGCCCACAGATGTTGGTGTTTTCTAATGTAGACTTCAAGGCTTATTTTTGAACGGGATTTCCAGGTAGCAGAAGAAACTTCAGAGACTGTTACCAATGATTATTTCCTCAAAAGTTACTGTGACCAACTTCACTATGCCTTCCTATGGTCAAAATTGTTACACATTGTTATTAAAAAAAAAAAAAGTTGTCTTTACATAAATTTCCTTTCTGAAAAAAATATGTAACCATTTAGCCATCATTCTTCATCATTCTCAGAGACAAGAGCCTATTTGAAAAAACTTATATTTAGACTTTTAAAATATCAGTGGCCTTCTACGTGATAATTTCTTCATCAGTTATCATGTTTATCTTTCCTATTTCCTCTAAATTTGTTGAACTTATTAAAATGTTTTGGTTTTCACATTCTTTGTCATTGTCTATGTCAAATACTTCATTTGCATATTTCTCTAATCTTGCAGATAGTGAAATATCAGCTCTTGGTTCCTGGTAACTATCACTCATTTTTAAATTTGACCAAACACAGGTACTTTTTTCTACTCTAACATCAATTAGTAGGAGATTGCCTAGCCAACTTTGAAAAGAGTGCTTCAACCATTTCTTCCAACTTCTTTACTTCTACAAATCAAATTCAAAAATCATTATAGTTACAGTTCATATAATTAGATTTCTTAAAATTAACATTTTTTGGATACTACACCAAAAGTTCAGTTAACTATTAATTGTTATTTCATGCACAAAACTACCTCCCGAGATTAGACTAGGTCCCTTTTAAGGGTTTTAGGCCTCCATTTTGAGATGTTTTGATTTATAGAAGAAACTAGAAAAAAGCTAGAAGTAGTAAAACAATTTGTGTCCTTTGTAAACCTGTTTAAGAGAGAGAGAGAAAGAGAGAGAGAGAGATCTTTAAAAGTCAAATAATTCATAGATGTAACATAATCATTTTTTCTTAAAGTATTTTCTCTAAAATAGAACAGTAGTATTTACTAATTGCCTATCATGTACAAGATGCTATACAAGTTGGGACTGGCGACATAGTTCAGTGTTCGAGTACTTGCCTAGCATGTGCAAGCTCCACAAAAACAAAATAAAACAAATAAAAAATAAAAGTGCTTCCCTAGCCATCACCAAGGCCAAGAAGTCCCATACAATGATCAGAGCTCTCAAGCTGGTGTCAAGTAGACATGTTACATTTGGCTGGCATAGAATTTGGTTATAATATTTTGCTAATTTTTAAATTGTCTTATTTTGAAGTTAATTTACAGTTATAAACTGACAAAAATAATAATACAGAGTTCCCACATTCTCTGTGGTCAACTTTTCCAAAAATAACATCTTACATAACCATAGTACAATTATAGAAATAAAAAAAATGAACATTGATACAATGCTCTTAATCCACATGCCTTTTATGAATTTCACCATTTCAAAATAAGTTTTTTCTTGGACCACAATATTTCAAAATCTAGGACCAGCATCACTCAGACTCATTCTTGTCCCTTAGAACCCATTTTAGCCATGGTCCTATGCAACTCTTCCAAGCCTTCAAGACCTTCCTCAAATTTCTCCCCTCCTCATTTTCACTTATTGCCTTCTGTTTCTTAAAGAAAAGGGCATTGTTGGGCAGTGAGTCTTTCACATTCTCACATCCATACCTTCTTGCTCACAACCTCCTTACTGCCTCAATGCAAGACCTGTCCCTCTGTGGAATTCCATGCTCTCCTACTGCCTCACTAGCTCTGAATCCCATCTCCCCTCAAGTCTCCAACTCTCACTCTCTACTGGCTCTCTTCCTTCCTTGTAACAGTCATACTGAAGTCTATCTCAACTTTCAAATGGAAACAAATGACAACAACAAATCTTCTTTCAACCCCAGTTTTTTACTCTAGCAATTCCCCTTCATCTCTCCCTCTCTTCATGGACAAAGGAATTGAACATGTCTCTACCATCAATGTCTCCACTTCACTCCCTCCCACTTACTCCTTATACCAGCATCACTGAAAAATAATATTAACACCACCAGTGACTTCCTTGCCAAAACTAATGGAAAGTTTTGCCTCTGACTCTGGGGTACATTTCCTCTTAAAAATGCTCTATTCCCTTGACTTCCCTGATACCACTCTTGAAATTCCTCTTTCCTTTCTAGTGGTTCCTTCTCAGATATGCTCAGGTTCCCCAACTCTCTTCTTCTTACTCTATCATTTCTGATGAGCAACCTCCCTAATCCCAGGGCTGTTGGGTATCCCTATCCTCTCAGACATTGAACATTTCCATCTCTCTGACACCAGTTATATCCCATCTCTCTGACACTAGTTAATATCCCTTTTCCTTCTGCCTCCCCCTAGACTATGACATCCTTCAGAATGGGAACTATGTTTGATTTCTGTACCAGCCCTCGGTTCCACAACAGCCACAGACAACTTGGCATAGAACAGACATTGACTTGTCGTTGGGGATTTTTTGTTTGTTTTGTTCTGTTTTTTTTTGTGTGTGTGTGTGTGGTACTAGGGATTGGCCCCAGGTTCTTCCACATGCGAGGCAAGCACTCTACTACCAAGCCTCAGACCTTGCCCAAAATATTCTTGTTGAAGAAGTAAATATTAGCAAACTTGACTAAGTCCTATATGGTCACAGTACCCAGATTTACATGGTACTAAAAACATAAATTTTACACCCATGACTACAAAGTCAGCTTAATGATTATTTACTATCAGGCTTTGGAATCAGATATCTTGGATTTTCAAAACAAATTAGTACCCTTTTACCAGGAGTGTGACTTTGAACAATTAAGTCCTCAGGACCTTACTTTCTTCATTTTCAATTTGAGATGGTTATCATAACTGCTTCATAAGATTGTCATAATTAAACGTGACAAATACATATATAGTCTTCAGAAGATAACCTAGCATATAGCAGGTAGCAACATTTAATGTTGGTGACAAATAGAAAGTTCATATTATTGTTATTTTAGCATCAGGTAAATACCTGCATGATTTACCGACTAGATTAAGAGTACTATTGGATTTCTATGCTGATCACCAGGAAAATAATCAAAAATCTGCATTCCTTCTGCCACCACTTGGAAACATTCCTCCATTTGATCATTAAATATTTTATTGAGTCCTTACTGTGCTAGCTCTCTGCTTTAGGCTCTCTGTCTTGAATCTTATCTGGCACTCACAAAGACCAGGTGATACCTCTTGGCAATCCAATCAAAATGCCAAAGCTTCAGCATTTAACTGGCTCACCCCAAAAGTGAAAGAGAAATTGAACACCTAGCAGCAAGACAGACCGTACGGTGGGTGGCTACAGCGGAGACAGCCCGACAGCCCGAAGGGTCTCCCGCCCACCACCGACGCCCCTAGAATCCTCAGCCCCGGGCGCCTCTCGCGGGCGGAAGAGCCAAGTCTCCGCCGCAGCCACTGGGGCGCGCCAGAGAAGAGGCCGGGGCTCCCCCTGGAAAGGCTCTTTCGCGTGTCCGGGATCGGATCCGAACAGCTCCGTAGCCAATCTGCAGCAGACCTCTAGGCGGTGTTTGATACCGCGCCACCCCCGGACTCTGGTCCTCCGCGCCCAGCCCCGAGACCCCTGGCCCCCGCAGACCGTCCCCTACCCCCGCGGGAGGCCGGGATGCACTGCGCACGCGCACACTCACAGCAGCCCTCGCCACCGAGGCCGACGCACCGGCGAGGAGCAGCCAAGTCTTCCGCAGTACACCAGTCGCCTGGCCTGTTTCGGGCGGGCCCGAGTCTCGTGCGGCCTTTAAAGGCCGCGCCCCGACTCCCCCGCGTCCCCGCCCCCACCTACACACACCCTCGTCCTGCTCTCCTCCCAGTGGTTTGCATGTGCGCCGGTGCTTTCCTTTTAAGACTTAGGGGAACTCCAGCGGTAATAACCACACGCACTTCCCCTTAATCAGTGGCCTGGCAAACCCACTCGGGGATTTCCGTGACCCTCCACATGCCTGACTTAACTGTGACATATCCGTGTGGCTTTTACTGAAAGACCTTTGCTTCATTGTTCTTGGGTCAGAGGAAATCTTGACAACCGATATAGAGATCATTGGTCAGCCTGACTGGAAGAAGTCAACGCCTCTGCCTCCCAACCTCCATCCACCGTGTACTTTACAGATAAAAATGTTAGATTTTTCCAATCTATTAAACATAAAGTTCGACATTAAAAAAAAAAAAACTGAAACTCTCCAAAATCTTTCTAATTATTTTCACTTTTTGTTTTGCTCCATAAAGGAAGCCTAAGAGCTGAGTATGGTGGCTGCAGCTTGTAATCCCAGCTACTCAGGAAGCTCAGGCAGGAGGATCTCAAATTGGAGTCCAGCCAGGGCAATTTAGGGAGACCCTGTCTCAAGAGTTTTTTGTTGTTGTTTGTTTGTGTTTTTTTTTTTTTTTTTTTTTTGAGGGTTGGGAATGTAGCTCAACACAAAAGCATTTGTGCAAGTGGGAGGCCAAGTGTTTAATCCCCACCAGTACCAAAGGGGGGGGGGGAAAGGAAGCATAGGATTATGTAAAAGATAACATTCAACTCTCCTTCATAGTTTATTTTCACTGTTTTAAAGGTTGGAATTGTCTTAATAGGTGCGTTGTTTCTGTCAGATGATATAAAAGATGGCTTGACCTAGGGGAGGAAAATCTTCCTTTTAGCCTCTTGTGTTACAAAGGAGGTCTCTGGGACATTACATTTACATTCTCACAGAAACCTGAAGTCTTTGAGTCTAACTGCATTGCCATATTTCCCTCCATATTCTCTGTTTAAGCAGTAAACATAAGCAATTTTATCTAAGAACATTACATGCCAGGTTAACAAATGGATTGAGAGAGCTCATCTGATTTTTGTGTCTTCTGGTGGATTAAAGACAATCAAAGACAGAACCATAAAGGTTATGCAGTACTTCATCCTCCCATGGGCATGGAATACAGCACATTCAGCACAAAATTGGACTGTGCTGAGACATCTTCTGGTTAAGGTGGATTTGACTATTCTGAACAGCTAAAGCTCCATATGCAACTATTAGAAAGACTAACTTCATTTGTCACATGGAAATTTCAATCCATTTTCGAGCCTTAAAGACTTTCTAAACCATTTCCGGCTCACTCTTGAGATTATTGAAATATTTTTGTGATCCTTACACCAGAAGAATTTTGAAAAAAAACTTCCCTGGCCTTTTTGTGTCTGTGCTTGTGGGAGGTTGACAGGAGTCTCACTATGTTACCCAGGCTGGCCTTGAACTCCAGGTCTCAAAAGATCTTTCTGCCTAAGCTCCTGAGTAGGGGTGTGACATGGTGCCCAACTCCCTTGCCCATTTTTAACTTAACATTAAAACATAAAAATTGCTGTACTTGCAAAGGATCTACAAAATGTAAACATAGATTTTTTTTTTCTTCTCTTTTTATACCAGGGATTGAACCCAGGGATGCTTAACACTGAACCACATCCCCAGCCCTTTTTATTTTTTATTTTGAGACAGGATCTCAATGAGTTGCTGAGACCGGCTTTGAACTTGCAATCCTCCTGCCTTGGCCTCCAAAGCTGTGTGTGCTACTACACCCAACAAAAAAATTCCTTCTTAATTTTTTGTCATTGACATTATATTCATTACTATAAGTACACAATTTGGTCAAAACAATATAAAAATATTACAAATGTCAGTAGCTATTAAAGACAAATTAAAATTTTATTACAAATGCAATTTTAAAGTGGTTGCAGCTTATCTTTCAAATGTGCATTTATAAATCTTACCCATTGCTATAATACAACAGGATTCAGCACAGATTCTATTACTTTTTTGCGTTTTTATAGATCATAAATCTTGAAGAAGACTTTTCAAATAAGTAGAGAGGCCCAGGAAAAATAATTATAGCAAAATTCTTCATAATTTTGAATACCTATTTTATATCTCAGAAATCATTTAGTGGTATCTAATCAAAAACATTACTCAGTTATCAGTGGGCAACTCAGTTTTGTTGAAATCAGTGACTCTGAAAACACTAAACTTTTGTTACCTAGATTAGGGTTGCCAGAGTTAGCAAATTAAAACACAGCCTGCCTGTAATCCCTATGACACAGGAGGCAAGAGGATCACAAGTTTGAGGCCAGCTTCAGAAACTCAGTAAGACACTGTCTCAAAATAAAAACTAAAAAGAACCGGGATGCAACTCAGTGGTAAAGCACCTTTTGGATTAATCCCTAGTACAAAAATGAAAAAATTAAAAAGAATGTGCCTTGCATTATTTGGAACATACCAATGTTAAATATTTTAATTATTATTATTAACTATTAGCTGAAATTCAAATAAAAATGTAATTCCTGTATTTTATCTGGCTATCTTATTCCCAAATATTAGAGTACATAATTAATTTTCTCAATGCTAACATGAATTATTTTAAGTTGTTCAGGAATTCTTTACACTCAGGGCCAATATACTGCTTTAAAACTCAAGGCGGGTGAGAAGTGAACCTGAGTTCCCACTTACCTAATGGTAAGTGTTACCACCCAAGGGGACACTTATCCCCATTTACAGACCACAGCGTAGGAAATCCCTGAAATAATTAAGGTTTCTGAATTTTTCAAACTGATAGGGAGAGGTAGGATCAGATGTATCTGATCAACACATCTCCTTTGCAATTTTGCAAGACTATTGACTTTTTTTAAAAAAAAAAAAACAATTGTTTTCCTGGATAAATTCTAACTTGCACATGGGCAGGGACAGAATATATTTTGTTCGTTGCTTTATTCTTTCTCTAGCAGGGCATTTGCACATAGTACCATTGTTGACTAACAAAAATTAACCAAGGCTTTCTCCATTTTCAACCAGCATTCAAATTTTTAATAGTAAAGGGCTAGAAAGTTTCCTTCTAACCCTTTGATATTGCAAATGTTTTGTATAAGAACTCCCTTTACCTAAATATATTTTCCATGTAAATACTCTTTTAGAGACAGAAACAATTAAGGAAGTGTGGGGAAGGTGACAATGTTGGCATATAGCCTGCCAGCTTTCTTCTGCCAGCTTTCTATTACTATCATGTGTGAGCAAAGTCTGAGTGAGAGGGGTTTTCACCTCTTTCTTGGCTTAGAACTCTGATAACCCTTTAATAGTGAAGGATTTTCAATATCCTATTATTAAATAATCAAAAGTATTTTTCCCTTGAAACTAATCATGCTCTTTTAAATGGGAATTTCATGTAATAAGAATGCTCTGAAGACATCAGTTCCAGCCTAATTCTTTTTTTACTGGAAGTTCATATATATAGAGAGAGTACATTTTATATATATATATATATATATATAGAGAGAGAGAGAGAGAGAGAGAGATTCTACCCAGGAATCCAGAACTGAAAGTGAAAGTGCAATATAACAGAGAACATTCTGTTCTGATTCCAAAGTATGAGAGTCATTGTAGATACTGGGAATTTCCCAGTCTATTGACAATTTCATGATGCCTCATAAATAAAATACAATTATACCATTCTTGAACAAGTGCTAGTGAAGATCAAATTTACAAAGAGACATGCTATGCCACAAACTTGTTCTGAAAATGCAGTTTTCCGCTTATAAATTGTGGCTTATTTTAATTTATCCTGACAGTATTATAGTAAAATATAATTTACATAATGTCAAGTGTATAAATCTTAAGTATACATTTCTATGAATTCTGACAGAGGATATGCTCAGGTCACTATCAACCAGGAACAATATCAGAAACTGTTTTCTATCATCTCATGTTACTGTTTGCATATTAGGTATTCCCCAAAAGCTCCTGTTAATGCAGAAATATTCTGAAGTTAAATGATTGGATTATGAGAGTTGAAAACTAATCTAGTTCATCCTACTTTGAATGGACTAACTGGGTGATAACTGGAAGCAAGTGGGGTGTGGCTGGAGGAGGTAGACTACTGGGGGCATGTCCTGAAAGGGTTATTCTTCCTGCAGCCCTTCATCTCTCTCTCTCTCTCTCTCTCTCTCTCTCTCTCTCTCTCTCTCTTTCTCTCTCTCTCTCTCTCTCTCTCTCTCTCTCTCTCTCTCTCTCTCTCTCTCTCTCTCCTTCTCAGCTGCCATGAGGAGAACAGCTTTCCTCTGCAACACCTTTCTGCCATGACATGCTGCCTCACCTTGAGCTCAGAGCAATGACACCGGCCATCTGTGGACTGAGTCCTCTGAAATCGTGGGCACCAATTCAACTTTTTCTCCTCTTCGTTGTTCTTGTCAGGTATTTTGGCCATAGCAATGAGAAGCTGACAAAAACAAAAAACAGAAACTGGTATAGAGAGTGGAGTTATTTCTATGACTCACCTGACCATGTGGTTCAGAAGCCTTTAGAGCTAATTGGCAGGAGTGATTTTGAAAAGTTTAGAGATGCAAGCTGGGAAAGTTTTAGAATGTTGTAAGCAGAGCTTAATGGTCAATTCTGGTGGAAGCTCAGAAGTCCAGAACATCCATAGGAATGCAGACTGTGTTCATGAGGTTTCAGAGGGAAATAGGGACTCTCTTGGGAA